AGGATGAACTTTTTATAACCTGATTTCAAATGATTGTCCAGATTCAAATTAGTTATTTATTTTATATTACAGTTTTTTCTTCCACTTTCCAAAAAAAAAAATAGAAAAACCTTTTCTCCCACGTGATTCCTGCTTTAGCCAACAGTGCATCTCGGGGGGCCCTTCCAAAACCATTGACCAACAAAAGATTTGGAATCTAGTCATTATCGATGCAATTGAATAATTTATTATTATTATTATTATTATTATTAAGGCATAGGTGAGGATTGGTGGTGCTTTTCACTTTTTGATAACCCTTACATATTTAACCAATCATGACCCCAATTTGTCTGCCAGTGGTCCCCCGTTTGTGTTTTATAGTAAAAATAAATTTTCATTAATTACACAGCTATCCCCGAATATTACGAGCATTTGTTTCCTGATTGTAACAAAACTGGCTTAATACATTAGCTTTGAGTACTGACTTAAAAAACTCAAAAAAAAAAATTTTGGCAGTAAGAAAACTCAAATCAAATCACTATAAATAAATCGAATCAATATCTACAACAACAAAGCTATAAATGATTTTGATGTCCATACTTTTTTTCAACTCAAAGTTATAATCCAAAGTTTTTTGGGTGGGACTATTTTCACCTCATAAATCTCCGTTCTCATCTCATAAATCACCAAATTACTAACTCCGTCCTTTGTATATTCACCCGTCCTTTGTATATTCACCCGACCAGTAACTAAGTCCACTCCATTCCATATCCACCTTATTAATAATTAAACTCATTTCAATATTTACTTTTAGGGATTCTTTCTATACCTTGTCAAGGCGATAATATTTCAGGTGATAATATTTCCTGAAGGAGGAGGAAGAGATGCCCAGAGACAGGAGGAAATCAAACAATACTGTAGATCCTTCCTATGGATTTTGGCTTTTATAATTCCAGCATTCTTGACGCCGGTTCTTATAAAGCATTACGCCATGGCTCCACAAATATGGACGTCTTGATTGCCTTGGGAACAAATGCAGCCTACTTCTATTCGGTCTACTCTGTGTTGAGAGCTGCTAGTTCTCCAACTTTTAAGGCCACTGAATTTTCTGAGACTAGCTCAATGCTCATTTCATGCATTCTACTGGGAGGTTTTGGCCAAGGGGAAGACTTCTGAGGCCATTGCCATTAATGGGGTTGTGTGAGAAAAGGCATAGAAAAAACCCTAAAGATGAATATTGAGATAAGTTTAGTCATTAATGGAGTGAACTTAGTTACTTGTAGGGTAAGTATAGAAGAGGTGGGGTTATTAGTTTTATAGTTTAGAGTTTAATGAGGTGAGAACGGAAATTTATGAGATGAGAATAGGCACATTCTAAATTTTTTTTTTTTTGGTAAGAATAATCCAAGTTGAGACGTATATAATCATCAACATATTACATATATCAAATTATTATGGGTTTTACCCCAACTTCGGATTTTGAGTTAATATTTATTGATCTCTTCTTATTGATCGTGCCAGATTTTAAGATCTTATTCCCAAAAATTAGCTAAGAAACCCACTTACCCTAAATCCTAATGTTGTTCATTTTCAAAGTCCAAAAAAAACCTACCTGGCTAGTTCACATTAATCCTATCAGAAACAAAATTCAACTTCTCACTTTTCTTTATACATGGTGGATGATCTAATGGTAAACTTGAGAAAAAAAATATCCATAAAAAAAATGCTTTCCTTACATCATGGTGATACTACGGGTGACACACGTTGTAAAAATATATAATGACCATGCGTTTATAACACGATGAGTTTTAAAGCAACATTCAGTTATATACTTAAATATTTTAAGCTAACGTTCAAACTTGGATGACTTTCAATATCAAACTTATGCGAGAGAGAGAGAGAGAGAGAGAGAGAGAGAGAGAGAGAGAGAGAGAGAGAGAGAGAGAGAGAGAGAGAGAGATTGATACCGACTTTCACGGTAATAGGAAATTGTGGCATTATTATATCATGGTGGTAGATAAGAACTAAGCTCAATCAGGACACATCTGTATCAAAACATGTTCAACTATCATGCATATGAATGAAACTTTAATATATTTTTACTTCAATTTCACTCAATGAAGAATTATATATCATAAATTCAATAATAAACTAAAATGTGTCTTGGTTCCAAAAAAAAGACTTAGTGTGTGCGTGGATCTCTAAGCAAATAGATATGGATAATCTAATTATAAAAAAAAAATTGACAAAAAGTGTGTGTAAAGGTATCAAATGCTCTGTATCATGGAGAGAATATTCCATACAACGATGATACCATATCGGCATTGATAACTTAGTATCATCAATCAATAATAAAATTCTAAATAGACAAAGTGAGTCCTATTTATGTAGTTATTGACATACATGGAAGAAGAGAAAGTAGTTATCTATTTACATGAATAGATAGTTATTGACTTGTGTGCGATCCACTTTGTTATTAGTCTGCACATTATTGGTTGGTGATGTGGTACCACAGTTGCAATGAATATTTGTAGAGAATGAATAAATTCGGTAATGAAAAATTTGAATCCATAATTGATTAGAAGAAACAAACTAATCCTCAATTGCATGAAACTATTTAACAGTATAAGCTTTTCAGAACAAGTGGATGGTTTAATAAAATAGTCAATACGTCAGGATAATAAAATTTTCCTTTCTGGCTCGAGACTTTTGATGGGTTCTCACATGGGAACTGGCTAGCGAATACATATTGCGAGGTCACATTTAAAGTTGTGCCCTTATTGATTATTTTGAGCTGGGAAGGTATAGTTTTTCAATCAGTCTCTTTCTTTTTAACCTTAAAAAGTTGTATTGACAGAAATCATGTGATACGAATATAGTATCTCGAAAAAGATACCAATTTTTTTTGAAGGTACCATATTTTTTTTTGGAAATACTATATCGGTATCACATACAGAAAGATTCGACACTTCATTAAATGAATTATATATATTGTCACTGTTAGGCTTTATCTGCTGCCCACAATCTAAACCCTAAATTTGAGCCAATATGCCTGAGACATTGAAGACCAAGTACATATCGAATAATAGCTTACTGTCCTTGCTTTATTTGTTCTAGGGTTTGTAATTATTATGAGGATTATTATTACTATTATCTTTATTGTTACTAAGGAAGAGGTCAGGTTTGGTGGTGTTTCTCAAGTTTTGAAATCCTTACATGTTCAACAATATTACAAGAATGAGTTCCGACTTAAAAGCTCTTACAATTTGTTTTCAATCATAGGAGTGCTTGCATACTTAGGCAATAAGAGAACTCCGAATCTCCATTTTGATCAGCATTTTAAAATTTCACCTAGTATAAATAGTAAATATGTATGATATACAATATTTCACGTTGATAACTACTGCAAGATGAATATTATAAAAACCAAAAAAAAATCATGTACAATTTACAAAAGAGAATCCAACAGAATGATTGATCTTCTAAACAAGAGAAAAGAAGATCCTCCATCCCCAAAACAAAAAAAAAAAGACAGTATGCACAAAAACAAAACAGAAGCAACAACATCAGCATCATGGGAACACAACAATCAGCAAACCAGCAACCAGCTCACAGCACCACCAGCTGCACTTTTACTTTTCAAAAAATTCTACTTAGACAGAGATTGGGGTTTGAGGAATGCTAGAGAGGGAGAAAAAAACAAGATATTCGTAACTAAAGATTTCTTGAACTCAACGTCGAGGGAGTCTACTAACTAAAGATTTGGCAGTTAAGAAAATTTAATCCAAATATACGAAACAATTAAGCAGATCAAAGTATGAGAGAGTTATTTTGTGAGGGCAAATGTAGATGAGTGGGATTCAGTGCTTATAATGTGAAAGTGTCGTGTGCTTATGCTTATAAACAATAATTCGTAATACTTTTTAAATTTAAATATTTAACATATTATACTAACCTAAAAATTTATTAAAAGAGATGATACTCGTTAAAAAGTCTAAAAAATTTAATAATAATAAAATTATTGAACCATGTCGATTGTCCATTGGTCAATAATTATTTAATCCAATTTACTCCAAGTTGTTCACGCAATCCAATCGCATCTTTGTTGATTTTCTATCACCCACTTCACCAGTGCTTTTCCCACTTCTGCCACACCGAGGTCCATTTCTCTTGGATGTTTTCTGGTTGGAAAATGCTATTAGCTCTTAATTTAGGATTTAATTAAATGTAATTATTAAATTAAAAATGGACTCTATTGAACTTTGGAGCGCACTTTTAATCGTATGGCTACATATAATTAGGTCCCCATAACAGTGTTTTGTAGAGATATAATTTAGGAATTTAATTATTATGGTCATTAGATTGTTGACGGATTCCAGTTTTTAATGTATTTCACTATTAATCCAATTGTTGGAATGTACTAAATATCTAAATTATGTCTCATTGAGCAGTATTATATAGACCTAATTTGTTGATTTAATTACTCACAATCATTAGATTGATAGTAAGATCTAATATCTATTAAGACCCGCTATCAATTAAATAATTGTGCTATATAAGATCAACAAATTAAGTCTAATTAATATTATTGTTAACAAAGAGTAATGTTATAGAACCTAATTAAAGAATTTATTCAATACAACTATTGAATTAGTTATAATTTTTAATTTAGATTGAGCCCACTTTCAATTGAACAATGGTAGTTGATTAGGTCCCAATTAGATAAGGTTAATTGTCAAGGAAACAATTATAGTAACTAGATAATTTATAAATTAAGTTAATAAATTAAATCTAAATATCATTCCTCTTTCAAATTTAGTTTATGAAGTTCCAAATCTTGAAATGGCAAATGAATCCATAAACCAAATTTGAATTTTATTTCATAACATAGAAAGCTGAAAAAACACAAAAACTTGAAAGAGCAAACGAAAAGAAATGATCCCAACAATCACTACCGGTTATTTTTCCGTTACTCGTTGATGAAAGTACAAAAGCAATCTAAGAAAACTTGATGAACACATTCAAGCGGAACACTCGATCTTGGCACCGGCGACGGTGACATTATCGCCACCAAATTTGGGAACCAAAGTGACCAGCACTGCGTCATCATCTTCAGCTTCCAAGTCCTCCAACAGCTCACTCAGTCCCAGCCTAAGGTCAGTCTTGACCTTCATGTTACCCTTGTGTTTATGAGGCAGGTGAGCAAAACTTCCGGCGTACTCCGTTTTGTCCAACCCAATCTCAGTCTCATCTTCATCGTTCACAAACACATCAAACTTCACATACTTGTCTTTCTCCAACTCAATCCCTTCTATCACCAGTATCTCCTCTTCATCTTCCTTTTCCTTCGAGCTTCTTGATTTCTTCGGCCTCTTGACCAGAAACTTCGCGATATTGTTTAGGGTTACAGGGAAGGTACTGAGGGTGGTGGGTTCAACAGTTTTTGCAATTTGGGATTTCTTCACTCTTGGCACTGGCTTGTTCTTCAGCCATGGAATAGGCACTGGTTGGTAAACGTACCCGAGCTTGGTGTTCTCACAGCAATCTTTGACCGTAACCCTCACAGCCTGAGCATCTTCGTCGTAGAAGAGAAAAGAAGTGTTTAACCAATCTGGATCTGTAAAATCGGTGCGACGTTTGCCTCCTAAAGTTCTCCATAGCGTCCACATTCGATCAATGTTCGCATGGTGACTGTAGAACATGGTGTCTCGACCAGCCGAGTAGAAGTTTCCCATATCCTCGCCATTTTTCTGAGTTGGATCACCAACCCACCGGTGCACCGGAATGTGAGGTGTAGACTCAATGGACCCAGCTCCAGGACTGGGCTTATCGCCTGCGCGGTAAGGACTTCCGAGAAAGAGAATAGGAGTGGTGCTATTGGTGATCATTTGCCTGTACATTATCGTCAGATTGTTGATCACTTTTTGGATATCCGTCGTATCGGTGTCCTTGCCGTTGTAGCCAAGATCGATAATGGTCGGCGGCAGGTGACCGGCGTTGCGATATTGGTCATACAGGGAAGAATTGGGATCAACGAGCAAGGCCGGCATTGTCATGCCAGCGGGAGTGTCCCAGTTCCAAAACGGCAAAGCAAAAGTCGGATCTCCGATCAATTTTCCGAGGATTCTCTCGTAGAAGTACAAGTACCATCTGTGGAAGGGAAAGAAAAGCCATGAGTTGTGAATTTGAAGCTCAAGATCTGGAAAACCGACTTGTTCATAGGCCCCATTGCAATAAGCGCAATGAACATTAGCTTGCTGTGTGAAGTTACGTGGGTCGTCTTCAGGAAGGGCCTTCATGAGCTCAATGGCTTTCGAAAACTTGGCTATGTATTCTTTGCTCACTAAGTGAGCAGCTGGTCTGACACGCTTGGGTTGAGACCTAGGAAGCTTGTAATCAACAATCTTCTCCGCCTTTGGGGGGCAACAGGTATTGTTAATTAGAACTGCCCCCGGCGGCAAGTCCGATGGAAAATCACATTTTGTAACTTCCGGTGCCTGCACCGGAGCAGCCACGGCAAATGGATCAGAAACGAGATTGGCTGCACCATAGAGCCCCCCTAGCCCAAGCAGCACATTCCTCCTGTCAAACTTCCCTTGAAAAGTTTCTCCATTATTGGTAGGGTTTTGGTCACCATCTTTGGTTTTGCATGAGACTTGAAACCGATGGTAACGCTTTTCAGTGATGAGAGATTTTAATGGCTTAGCGAAGAGGGACCTAGAAGTGAAGGTGCTGAGGTTGGTGGAGTAGGAAGAAGAAGAGTAAGTACTGGTTTTGGTGGTGGTGGTGGTGGCGGTGGCGGTGGCTAGGAGAAGAGAAGCCATGGTCTTGTATTTGTTTGTGAGACCATGAAGATACTAAACTCTGGTTATATAGTGAAGTTCTCACGAGTCCTTGACCCACAAAATTGTCATTTTTAAAATTTTTGGCGGTGAGGACCAACCATCTGTCACATTCATTTACTGGCCTTCCTTTAAAGAGGTAGATTTTAGAAGCAAAATCAAAACCAGGGCAGATTCCGAAGACTGGTTAACGCGAATGATTTTGAAAAAAATATTGGAAGCCTTTAGATAGTTTATTTGATACCTATGAGTTTATTAGATAGTTTATTTGATACCTATGAGTTTATTAAAGACTATCGTTTTTTGTATTTTATGTATATACTAGTTATAATTGCACAATGAAACATAAAATTTGAGTTTTTTCAAAAAAATGATCCCCCTATACCAAATAATAATTTTTTATTTCTTCGTTTTTTTTATTACATCATTTAAAATTAATTTTTACCTATTTTTTTTAAAAAAATAACGTTAAAATTTTTTCAAAATGTATAACTCGACAAAATAATTTCAACACGTATACACTATCGTGTATGGATAATGTATGAAATAAAAATTAAGTTAAATTATAAATTAATCTAATATTAAATGATTGAACATGTCATAGAAAATGGTAATGTGATATTTTTAAGAAAAAATGTATAGAGAATAAATTTTCAAACGCCTATGTGTTTTATTTTATATATATAAATATATATATATATATATAATTTTATTGAAATTTAAAAAATTAATTTAATTTTTTAGTTTAATGATGTGATGGTGACGTGGTTCAAAAGTGTTATTTTAACCCTAACTCCTGCACTATTTCATTGAGATTTCATCATTTAAAAATATCATTATATTAATAAATTAGATTATTTTTTTTTATAATAGGTGTTTCGGGAATCTAATATCTCCTTTCTTTCTATTGGGTCTTAAATCTTCTATTGATTTATCTACAATTCTTAATCATGAAATTAAAATAAAATAATAAGTAATTTTTACAAGTATCAAAATTTAAAACACTTTTTAGGCACTTTTCTATTTTATACTGCTGTTTGATATATTTTCATAATATTATTTATTTACTTGGGTTTACAAAAAATCAATTGGTTCGATTGATTAAATGTGTTGCAAGTCCTTAGACTTGTCAATTAACAAACAAAACAATCTTGATGTCTCTCCCGAACAAGGGTCAATTGGTTCAGAAAAAAGGCCTATGCCAGTAATGTTCTTTTTTTTCGGTACATCAAAAAAAAAAAATATATATATATATATATATATATATATATATATATATATATATATATATATATATATATATATATATATAAAAAAAACATTAGATAGAGTTTTTAACAAAAAGAACATTAGTCAAAAACTGTTAATAAAAAATTAACCAACTGAGAAGGAGGATTCTGCAACTCCAAAAAAATATCTGGCTGTTGGACACCAAGATTGACCAACATTATGTCAGTAATGTTCAAACAAAACAAAAAAACGTTGTTAAAAAACTCACGTTATTGTAACACATGAAGATTATTTAAACGCGAGAATCACTAACAACTCTAATCTCCTTCTTAATAATATTATTAAAATTCAAAGTGCTTTAAATTACTCAAATTAAATTCATAATGCCCAGATTCCAAATCTTTGTTCGGCCACTGGTTTCACAGTGGGACAGCTCTTAGATGTAAAGTTGACAAGCTCGTATGGTGGTATCACGTGGAAGAAAAAAGTTCAAGTACAAAATATCGAAATAAAGGACAATTCTTTTTATTTTTTATTTAAGTAATGTTATAGTTATCAAATTTTTTTATCAAATCTATGTGATACAATTTTTTACTATCAGATAATAAGTCCTATTAATATTCAACGATAAAAATTGTCTCACATCATTTAAAATGATAAATATTATAAGAAAATTTAATAAACATATTATTTTTCGTTTTATTTTAGTAGATGACTTTCAATCAGGACCCTAGCCTTTTTTAGCTTCATGTACAAAAAAGTGGATTAATCATACATTGGGTTGGTGAAAAAACAATATTTTCTTATCTATAAATAAAGAATAAAAGCTTCGGTATAGGAAAAAATTTCATGGCATATTCTCAGCTATTAGAGACGTACTCGTGTCTCTTAGACTCGTAACTCTAAATAGAATCAATGACAAAATTCGGGTGTATGAACCCGTCCCTCAATTCATATACCATTTAAATCAAGACTTGTGTTTCGTCAGAAACTCAATACCCACACTAGAGACTTGGATACAGTTATGTCTGTCAAAATCTGACTTGAATCGACACGAATTAAGTAAGATTGAGTGAGATTTTAACAGATTTGGGTGGTAAACGGGTTGACCTGTTATACACGTTTAATAAACGAGTCGTGTTCGAGTGAGACATGTCAAACCACTTATCACACATTTACCCGTTTAAATAAAATTAATATAATAATAAATTAAAAATTATTTTTAAAAATTAGTCAAAAAAAAAAAGGTAAAGAAATCAATACAAAAAAATAATAAGTAAAATAGTAGTTCAAAGACAAATGAGGGGAGATGGGGAGGCTGTATTGCCTATAAAAAGCAGTGACCTCTTGTCTTTTTTTTAAGCTTTCAAATCTGATTTTTATGTAAAATTTAGTTAGAAATTCCTTTTTTTTGAGGTAAATACAATTGACATTAAAAAAAGTGGTGTATTAAAAATTTTTAATATAATTTTTTTAAAAATTTAACGGGTTAAACGAGTCGTGTTGTATTACCCGTTTATTTAACGGGTTGTGTTCGTGTTGAAAATTTTTATCTGTTTATTAAACGTATGTCGTGTATGGATTTACATATTTTTCACTTGTTACCTGTTTAACCCGATCGTTTAATTTGACATATAACTGTTTATCCCGACACGTTTGACACCCTTAAATACAGTTCATCCAATTAACTGAAGTATTGTTTTATCAAACAACCACGCTTTTTGCTCTCAGGGGACTTCGAACCTCCGTCCTTCAACTAAGAAGCCAGAGGCCTGGCCAACTGGGCTACCCCAGTCAGTTAATAAAGAAGAAAAGCTAACTGAAATTATTTCCTGCAATAAGGGAATCTATATGGCACAGCCATTTCTAAAATTTTTTTAAAAAAAATGGACAAGGGAAATAAATATTGGGTACGTATCTAATCACAGGTACAAATTTTTTGGATTTTCAGTATGATATAAATTCGACTATTTTTTCGATATTCAATATAATTATGTGTAATATATCATCGTAATGTATAACCTCCTTCAAATATTTGTATAATTAATAATAGGTTAATTACTCTCCCAAGATATGGATTATTCCCCTTCCCCTTCCCCCTCCGAAAAAAACAAAATAGATATGGATTATTCATTCCCTCTCTTATCCTCTCTCTTTAAAATTTATTTATTGTAAGTTGGACTAATTCTGGTTTTTATATATCAATCAACATATTTATGTGTGATTGTGTATGTTCAATAGAGGGCGATAGAGGCATTGATTAGAAAAATAATAGAGTTTGCTCTTAATAGTACCGGGAGTAGAAATAAATATAAATTAACATTGAATAAAATAATAAAAATAAAAATAAAAATATTTAACTTAAATGAGTTTATAACGTATGACTGAAATAAATAACGAATATGAGTTTATATAGTCGACTCCAAATGATTAGAACATAAGACTTGATTTAATTGTTCGGTATAAACTGGTTCACAATAAGAAGGGAGAGATGTGCTGTATCTAAATAAGTGATTATAGATAAGAAAAGTATTTGATTAGTTATTGCATAAAATGGGGATTGAAAAATAGTATTTGTTTTTTTAGTTGCGAAATCATGTGGAAGACTACAACTAATTAGAACCAGAGTAGGGGTTAATCATTAGGTTTGTAACCATAACCAGTCTCAAAGCTTAATGTGTGGCAATCGTATTAGTCTAGTACCGTAGTACTAAAAAATAGATTATGAGTGATATATCAATTATAAATATCTTAGTTATGTCGTGGATAATCTATCTTTGATCGGATCAGAAAAAAAATTAATAAAAATATATATAAATTAATTCTGACATATTTGATCGTTGAAATTAAATAAATAAATAATTTTGAAAGAGGAGAAAAACCACGTCATGGGACCCACGTGCTCCATCCTTGGGCTCTCGACTCTATGGCTTATCTTGTCGAAGATAGTTTTAGATTTTACACTTTACAGACAGCATCAGACACTTTACAGCCAGTATCAGCAAGCATTAAAAATAGATGATATCTTATCCCTTCCATAATTCAAGTCTATTAATTATAGGACAGAAACCTACTCCTTGACTTGCCCGTGCATTGTCCATAATTTCTCTTCAATACAAAACCCAATAGATCCTTTTTTATTGGGAGCATTTCTTTGGAAATATGAATATCCTATGGGGTAATTCGTGCCTTCAATCAATGTATAATAACAATGATTTTAAGAGATATATTGATTATAGTTGGATTAATTTATTGAAATTTGCCTAATTTTATATTATAGAACTTCAACTTTAACCATGAAGTTAAAATTTTTAGAGCAAATTATAATTTATACCTTGAAACTATACACCCAATTTATATTTCGTCCTTAAAGTTCCAATTTTAACAGTCAAATCTTTTAAGTTTTAATTGAGTTTTAATTTAGTCATTACATTCAAAATCACTAATTTATTATGACAGAATGACCTTTTGTGACAAACCCGTGACTCAGGTAAAAAGATATATTTATTTGGTGAAACATTTTTATGTATAGGCTAGAAAAGTTTACTTTGTTTCATTTGATTTTAAGAAAAAGGAAAATAACAAACCTGAAATAATAAAAGGATAAAAATTAAGAAATTGAGAAATATTGTGAGACACATAGAGAAATAGCGATGCATTTGACAGAGATATTTTTTTATTGGACAAATCAACCCTTTTGAATAAGTTTTGTGATATCCTTCTATCGAAACAATTTAATAGATCAGAATGAA